CTTCTCATATACAGAGATTGTACCACTTCTTGATTGATACATACTACTTGTAATCGATACTTTAAATTTTGAATATATATACAATTCCAGTTTTTCGCGTTTACATATTTTGGCACACCTAGTGGGACATTCACCTCGATGTGTTTAGGAGCTGAACATTCACCTCCATCTTCTGGCTTGTCATTTGTATTTAGGTAGGAGCTAGAAGTGCCTGCCCCTTGAAGATAAAATCCCTTTGGCATATATTGAGCCAAAGGAACTGGTGCACGTGGCTGTTTGACATGCCCCTTCATCTTTGGTCTGCGGGCATGTCCACTTGTTGAGGTTTTCTCAATCCAACTTTTCACTATGTGCTTTTGATGCTTCACAGGTTCAACTTTCTTCTTTCTATGAGTGACAATCACCCATTTTCCTTCGGACGTGTTATCATTTTGCCGTGGTTCTGAACTTTGACCAGCAAAATGCTTAACAATGAAGGGGAGTGGATGCCTCCGTTGTTTTCCATCTTCCTTTTCAGTACACAGTGGAGCGAACCGTCCGAGTGTAATTGAGATTTGATTCGAGCTCGCGTTAGCATCAGCGAGCTCAATTTTTCCATCCATGGCTAGTGCCATAACTTTGTCTTTGAAGATAAAGCATTTCTCAATTGGGTGACCGAGAAGACGGTGGTACTTGCAGTAATATGGGTCATCCACCCTTGTAGCTTCATCGGGACGTTTCATTTCAGGCAACTCAATGAGCCTAAGTTTGAGTAGCTCATCAAACATGGGAGATACATCGGAATCCATGAAAGGATAAGTCTTCTCCTACCTTTCTTCAATTGTCGGTCTTTTACCACCCCTTGACGGGCTAGAGAATGATCTTGGCCTAGACCTTTCAGTTGCCTTAGTGAAGACTGTCATAGGAGTAGCCTTCACATTCATCACTTCTTTCTTTTCCTGCGTTGGAAAAGGTTTGTTCCACTTTTTAACTTCTTGTTTTCCATGTGCATTGGAGGAGCTAGGCAAGTTCAATATGTTGAGCCCTCCGCTGGCTCCGATGCTCAATTCCATGTCGTGAGCACGACTGGATAACTCCTCAAAGGACTTTGGCTTAATCCCTTGTAAGATATAGGAGAGTTCAAAGTGCATGCCTTGGATGCACATCTTAATTGCAGAACTTTGAGATATTCTTTCTTTGCAATTCAGGCATAGTTCCCTCCACCTTTCGATGTAGGCACCGGCGAGTTCACCCTTCCATTGGTGAGTAGTGGTGAGTTCCAAGAAGCTAACCGTTCTCCTCGTGCTATAGAAACGGGTTAAAAACTCACGTTCCATATCATGCCGGCTATCAATGCAGCCGGGCGCGAGGTCAGTGTACCAATCAAACGCAGTTCCCTTTAATGAACGGACAAACTGCTTTACCAACAGATCGCCATAAGTCCCTACATCATTGCATGTTTCCACAAACTGGGCAATGTGCTGTCGGGGATTTCCCTTGCCATCGAATTGCTGGAACTTAGGAGGTTGATAGCCGTAGGGCATTTTCAATTCCTCAATTCTTTGTGTGTAGGGCTTAGCTTAGGAATATGAAGATTGGCCTTCATCCAACTTGCCTTTGACGGCCCCCATTATGTTGTCCTTTAACTGATCCACCGGTATCATGCCTTCGGTAACTGGAATAGTTTTCTCAGTTGCAGGTAAGTGGGAAGCAGCTTCTCCTACCACATGGCTAACATGAGGTGGTGGTGATTGCGGACCAACCTCGTCTTGCCCTTCAAGTTGCTTTCTTGGAGCACGGCTTCCTTGATCCTCCATGATGCTTCCTACCCTATTATCGAGGGTGTTAAGCCGTTTCTCTTGATTTTGGAGAGCGACAGCCATTCCTTCCAGAGACTTAGCAATTCTAGCTAATTGCTCCTCCACAGACTCTATGTTTGTCGCCATGGCCGGCATGACGTTGTAGACATGCGACCACTTAGGTGCAGCCTTCCATAATGGATGTGGCGGAGTTACAGGGGAAGTGCTCCCGCTACTAGCGTTCCCTTGCATAGAAGTTGGACTACCACCATCGGTAGCTCCCTTGGGAGAGGGTGGACTTCCAGCAAAAGCAATTGCCTTTGAGGCGACAGGGGCCTTGTCGAGCCTTCGAACCACACGTCGTGCCATGGACTGAGGTTCAGGCACTTGGACTCCCAAATCCTTTGTGCGGTTCCTTATCAGCGGACCTTGCGTTTTCTGGGTAGTGCCAGAGCTAGCTACAGGCGTAGACTTGGACTTGGTAGCTGGGGCATAGGTCCTCCTGAACATGGGATTGTTCGATGCCATTTGATGCGCAGGTAGAGGCATAGTAGTAGAGAGATGAGAGGCAGAGCTGTCCCACTGGGTGTGCCAAAATATGTAAACGCGAAAAACTTGAATTGTATATATTCAAAATTCAAAGTATCGGTTACAAGTAGTATCAAGTATATATCAAACGGAAAAGGGTACAATCTCTGTATAGGAGAAGTCCTCTGATTCTCTATTAGAAGTATGCCAATTAAACTAATTAATTATTCAATGTGCCATTTAATTAACCCAATTAAATAAATATTAGTCCAATTAGCCTAATTAAAGTAATTAATTTAATGATCAATTATCCACCTCGGTCCAACAATATTATTTAAATTTTCAATGATTACAGATACAATCTCATCAAAATAGGACCAGAGCCCACACTAGGACCGAAGTCCACCAATCCACAACTATCCATCATATTCACATACCCTCCAAAAATAGATACCGTTTTATATATCCTCCAAAAATAGATACAATTATTTTCCTCAAAAAATAAGAAGTTATCCAAAATGGATTTTCATAAACATTATCATTTGCCCGTGAGCTATTCAAATCATAGTTTCCAAAACATCACAGGGTTCAAGTAATAGATATACATTTCCAAAATAGCATTTATATCACACATAGGATTTATCCTCCAATTATAATATAATTTATATCTCTTAAAATACATATAGTCTCACGCTCATATACTTCTTTGTAATACACCCAATATATAAATGTCCACATATTCATAATTTGTAAATCATAGGTTAACACCAAAATATACACATTTGCTATTTATCACACTTTTAAACCAAAATACATTTCCAAAATAATTTAAAAACACAAATCAGATAAATAGCACGTTTAGGGCAAAATAGCTTTAAACAGACATGGATACTTACCTCAAGCTAAGCTCTAAAATCAACACCAATCCTCGACTCAACTCATAAGCCAGTCCATAATGGGAAACCTCAGCTTCGTCCACAACTTTGCCAGAAAAGGGAAGCTTCGCCGCCACCCCTCCTAACCACACCACACTACCGGCAACCACAGCTCAAGTCACAACACCGCAAACCTCCACCACCCATAGCCGCTGCTCACCGAGGGAGGTCCAGTCCCCGCAACTGCTTTGGGTCCAACCACCGCGGGAGGAAACTTCGTCGCTGGAAGCTTGCCGGTCACAATCTAGTTGTCGCCGTCGACTAGATATGAAGGGAAAAAGGTGTCGCCGTAGCTCTGTTCGCTGGTAAGAAATAGAGGAACCACTGGACTACTCTGTTCTGCTGCTTCGTCGAGAAGAGAAAGGGAGACGGAGGGCAGAGGGGGACGGAAGCTGTCAATCATGAGAGAGAGGCAAGAAACCAATGAATGCTACTGAACATGATGTTCGTAGAAGATGAACAATATATATATATATATATATATATATATATATATATATATATAGTTCATATTTTTGGGTTGGTTTAAGATTAGGAGTTGGGTCAAACATTTGGGCTCAATATTTGGGTTTAAGAAATATTTGTTTGGCCTAGGGTTCTCAAATGATTTGGGATTTAATAATTTAATGGGCTTAGGAGTAATAGACATGAAATATTATTTACAGGCTCGACTCAAATAGATTTTGGATAGCAAAATTATAGGCATTCAAATATTATATTTGAATTTCGAAGCAAAATAATTTATTTTGAGAGTATTCGGGCTAAAATATTTAGGATATAAAAAATAGAGTTTGTTCCCAAGAACATTTTATTAAAATAGAACGGTTTTAAATTACCGGGTGTCACAATCCACCCACCTTAAAAGAAGCTTCGTCCCCGAAGCTAAAATCATTTTGAGGATAGGAAGTCAAACCGAGAAGATAATAAACAGACGGAAAACATTTTGGGGAAACATGCATGATTTTAAAAAGATTTGATTTCACGAAGAAAGAGAATGAGAGATTTTGATTTTAAACTCAGGGGGAAACACTAATCAAGAATAACGGTAAAATTATCAAGTTTATAATTTCGGGAATTAGGTTGTCACCTTGCACAAAACCATTTTGAGAAGGAAAACAAGGAAGAGGATTAAGAAGTGAAAAAGATTTTCAATAAGAGAGTGTTCAATTCTACAAGGGAACAAGGAATCCAATCTCAGAAGGAAACAATAACTCATCTTCAAGCCAGGAGTCAATCATTAACAGAGTAAGGCACTTCTCCTCAACTCTAGCACATAATTTCAATTCTCATACTCCAAGTTCCAAACACATTCCCCAAACTTGAACATCCAACGCACACAGAAGCATAGAGTTCACCAAATCCCTCTTTACTTTTACTCAAACAGTCAAACAAATCAATCCACATCCCAACTTCATTACACTTAAATCATCCCAATTACCAATGAGATTCCACTTACCTTCTCGCACATCTTCAGGGTGCAATAGCCACAATCTCAAAACACTTTTAGTAAAAGCACAACACAGCACACATCTTACTACTTAAACATGTAAGGTAAACACACAACCTCACCACGATTCCTACTAATCTCACAAATCCTAAAGTCTCAACCTAGTCTCTTAAAGGAAACTTCATAACATTTAGGACACTTAGGCTCATCCTAGGCATCATATCCCAACGGTTCGTACCGCTCTGATACCAACTTTAACACCCCCAACTTAAAAACCAGAATAAAAGACTTTTCTTAGAAAACGATTGAAAACAAATGCGGAAACAAAATCAAAATCAAAACCATTGGGGTGTCACGCCACGTTTAGGTAACCAACTAAGCCCAAACGCACAGGCTGCAAAGGTTCTATCTGAAAACCATAATACAATTTCCCAATACAACATTTCATAATCCCCAAATCCAGTTAACTACAATTCTATAATTCAAATTCTAAAACCAAAGGATCTATACCAAATTCTATTACAAGGCATACGAACTCTTTGCCGCGCTCTCAAGGCAAGTCACTAATTTCAGATCCTGAAAACAAAAGATTTAGGAAAAGCACAAACAACAGAATTAGCATAAATGCTAAGTAAGCTCTACTCCGCCTGTAAAATAAATACATTTATACTTCTCAAAAATAGGTTATATTCAAATAGGTTTTGGTACATTAAGTACCACTCACACCTTCTAGCAAACTCTATAGAGAGGTTTTCAAAGAATAACGCACACTAAAGATAAGTAGTATATCATTTCTCAAAGTAGTTTTCTCAAAATAGGATAGGCACCAACGCAATAACACACACTTTACTCAATGTAATACTGGAGTTTTCATAAGTAGAAGGGTTCCAAAATAATACCATTTAACCATTTTCAAACAGTATAACCATTTTATAAGTCACTCACTCATTTCCAAAGTAATCACAAGTATGGAGGATTTATAAATAGCATTTCTCAATACTTATCAATATAATAGTCATTTCAAAACATATTCTTTTCTCATCATAAGCATTTCCCAAAACATAATATAGATTTTCTCAAGTCATTCTCAAAAGCATATATGTCAATAATCATAGATTGGGAGGAATTCAAATCATATTTCTCAAATCACTTTTCCAAGTATCACATTTACATATACTCTCATATATATATAAAGTGAAAGGGAGGAAAGGTTTTAGATCAACTAAGCCCTAGTGACACGGTAATCCACTCTACCGGCCACTCCACAAGTTTGTCCCTTCCATGGGATAAGGGACTAAAACCTTAAGTGTGCACACCCTTTAATGGGCTTCCCCCACCCAAAAGAGTAGTAACTAGTCCTGGTAGCTCAGGATGTTTTCTACCGAGGTACCTCACAATATATACTAGGTATCCAAAATGCTTTCTACTGGATACAATCTCATCAAAATAAGACCGGAGCCCACACTAGGACCGAAGTCCACCAATCCACAATTATCCATCATATTCACATATCCTCCAAAAATATATACATTTTTATATATCCTCCAAAAATAGATACAGTTATTTTCCTCCAAAAATAAGAAGTTATCCAAAATGGATTGTCATAAACATTATCATTTTCCCATGGGCTATTCAAATCATAGTTTCCAAAACATCATAGGGTTCAAGTAATAGATATACATTTCCAAAATAACATTTATATCATACATAGGATTTATCCTCCAATTATAATATAATTTATATCTCTTAAAATACAAATAGTCTCACGCTCATATACTTCTTTGTAATGCACCCAATATATAAATGTCCACATATTCATAATTTGTAAATCATAGGTTAACACCAAAATATACACATTTGCTATTTATCACACTTTTAAACCAAAATACATTTCCAAAATAATTTAAAAACACAAATCAGATAAATAGCACGTCTAGGGCAAAATAGCTTTAAACGGACATAGATACTTACCTCAAGCTAAGCTCTAAAATCAACACCAATCCTCGACTCAACTCATAAGCAAGTCCATAATGGGAAACCTCAGCTTTGTCCACAACTTTGCCGGAAAAGGGAAGCTTCGCCGCCACCCCTCCTAACCACACCACACTACCGGCAACCACAGCTCAAGTCACAACACCGCAAACCTCCACCGCCCATAGCCGCTGCTCACCGAGGGAGGTCCAGCCGTCGCAACTGCTTTTGGTCCAACCACCGCGAGAGGAAACTTCGTCGCTGGAAGCTTGCCGGTCACGATCTAGTTGTCGCCGTCGACTAGATATGAAGGGAAAAAGGTGTCGCCGTAGCTCTGTTCGCCGGTAAGAAATAGAGGAACCACTGGACTACTCTGTTCTGCTGCTTCGTCGAGAAGAGAAAGGGAGACGGAGGGCAGAGGGGGACGGAAGCTGTCAATCGTGAGAGAGAGGCAAGAAACCAATGAATGCTACTGAACATGATGTTCGTAGAAGATGAACAATATATATATATATATATATATATATATATATATATATATATATATATAGAGAGAGAGAGAGAGAGTTCATATTTTTGGGTTGGGCTAAGATTAGGAGTTGGGTCAAACATTTGGGCTCAATATTTGGGTTTAAGAAATATTTGTTGGGCCTTGGGATCTCAAATGATTTGGGATTAAATAATTTAATGGGCTTAGGAGTAATAGACATGAAATATTATTTACAGGCTCGACTCAAATAGATTTTGGATAGCAAAATTATAGGCATTCAAATATTATATTTGAATTTCGAAGCAAAATAATTTGTTTTGAGAGTATTCGGGCTAAAATATTTAGGATATAAAAAATAGAGTTTGTTCCCAAGAACATTTTATTAAAATAGAACGGTTTTAAATTACGGGGTGTCACAAGGAGTGTTAGGATTGTCCCAGAAAGCATATATCAACAAGGTTTTAGAAAGATTTAGAGTGTGGAGTTTGTAGCATGTTTTGTGGCCACAAATCATGTATTATGGTTGCGGAATTTTATTTCGGGACTTGGAATTGTCGACAGTATTGCCAATCCGTTAAAAATTTATTGTGATAATGCCGTAGCAGTCTTCTTTTCTAAAAACGACAAGTATACAAGTAGTGCTAAACGTATTGATTTGAAGTATCTTGTCGTTAAAGAAGATGTTCGGGAACGAAGAGTATCAATTGAACACGTTTGCATTAGATTAATGATTGCAGACCCATTAACTAAAGCATTGCCACCAAAGGCATTTCGTGAGCATGTTGAAAGAATGAGCGTTATTGGAAACTGTTAACATTATGTTAAGGTTGTGTTTTGATATATTTTATACTTAGAGCTCAATATAGTTTCGTTTCTGTATTAAGTATCCTGTTTAGTTTATGAAGTATATATATACATGAATGTTTTATGTTAAACAGGATTTCTCTTTGACAAAGACATTATCGTGGACCATCATGAAAACGTTCATTAATTATGAAACATATTGAGTTTGAAATTAATATTGTGATACATGGAATGGACTACGTTAAATTAATGACGTATTACCGCCATGATTCTTATTAGTTTTTAACTTAATGATGACTTACGTTCTGACCAATGTAACGAAGGTATTAACTTATACTATGCATATTATGTTTCAAGTTCATTATTAAATTTATGATTTATGAGCCAAGTAGGAGAATGTTAGAATAATGTTAATTATTATTATTATTATTCTATGGTTCATTATAATTTATTGTGGCTCATAATTAAATATTTATTTATAATTTAATAATGAGATAATTCTGTGATTGATCAATTAAAGGATAATGGTAGTTTCAACTGCTCATCAGATAATATCCTCTTAGGTTGATGGAACCGAGGGATGATTGTTAACTATTTTCTGATTCTCTGGTCCTCTCCCAACCTTCAAAGAAACTAAACTCTCTCCATCTGAGTTCTTAGACTAAAGGAATGATGAAGGCCTGGAGGGAGAAAGCAATGCAAGTTTCTAGTATAAGCAGAGAACTATGGACCCAGGTATGTTCGTTGAACTCTAATTAAATACCGTATGTTAAAAACATGTGTTCTGAATATCTTATGTGTATAGAATTAACTTACAATAAAACCATATATAATAGCTAAATTGATTTGGATCGTTGATGATATTTGTTGAGATGTTACTGAAATCCGTTGAAACCGAGAAAATTAATACATTACTTTCATATAAAATAGAATTAGAATATTGTGATTATCAAACTAACAACCTTTCATAAAGGTTAATACACGACTGCTCTTCAAATTGTCAAAATTAAAACTTTATGATTACCAAGTAAAATAAATGTTTGAGTTTCTATGATAATAAACATCCAGTGCACCAGAATTGACAAGAGTAGTCTACTTACACAATTAAATACCAAAAACTAAAAACCTATATCTGTCAAATCAGCCTCTGCAAAAGGAATTTTATCAAATCAGCCTCTGCAAAAGGAATTTTAATTGAACATACAACAGAAGGGGGAGGAAAAACAAGGTTTGAATTTGACAGCCCAACAACACAACAATCTTAACTCGAGGAGGAGGAGGATAAACAAGGTTTGAATTTGACTGCCCAACAACACAACAATCTTATATGATGGAAAGTGATTACATGAATGGTGAGAGATGAACGAAGAAAGGAGGGAGGAGTTATTCCATTGAATTGGTAAAAATATGCTCTGAACAACAAACTGAAGACTAATATATGAAGCAAAGATGGACGGTTATAACAACCAAAAATATCTACAACATGTGAAAGACTTTTCTGTCCTCTACTTCATCTTCTCCCTTATCACCTTTGGCACTTCATTCTCTGCTTTGTAACACTTCATTCTCTGCTTCGTTCTTATCCTCCAGCATTATATTCATTGGCAAGGGCATACTCCTCGGCTTTAACCAGTTTTCCTCAAATGCCTACAACATCATCAAACTCATTCACTTTCATTTTCTTCAGAGAATTCATTTTCATGTACTTCATCAGAGCATTCCTTAGTTGCCAATTTAATCAAGAAAACCAATTCCATTGACAAAAATAAATAAAGTGAAAGATATTAGAATGAATGATTTTCATATATATACACAATAAAAATCCCAAAATCAATATATCAATACGAAGGAATGAGATTAGGAGATAGACCTTAGCTCCAAGATCACGAATAAAAAGTGCCTCACAACCATAGCTCTCTTTCTCTTCTTGAATATTCCTTGCAGAATCCACCAGAATAGGATAACAATTTTCTAACTCAATTAGTTGTAGTGTATTTAAATTTGCAATTTCACTTGGAAGTTCTTCCAAGTGCAAACAAAATCTTAGAATTAAGTGTTCTAAAACCGGGAAATGATCATCGGTTGCATTCTAAAATTTGAGATTGACAAGCTGCAAATGGAAGTTCATAATTTCCACAACACACCACAAACATCATAAGAGACATAAGAATTCCAATGGAACTTCACAATACAACATTATCATACATTTCAATGAACCATTGATTTGATACAATAACAATTCAACCAACCATCCAACATTATGGAAGATGAACTCCAACAATATCTTAGAATTAGATGCTCCAAAGCTGGGAAATGGTTTGCATTTGCATTCCAATGTTCGAGATCAGAGCGCTCAATAAGCAAGAACCTTAGTTGTAGAAACCCCCCATCCCTTGGTGTCCACTCTGGGCCACAAAAAGCAAAATCTTTCAATTTGAGTAAATCAAGGCTGGGTAAATTGTCAATAATGTCCATATCTTCCCATGAAAGATACGTGTTACTAAGGCTCAATTACTTGAGGTTTGACGGGAAACAATTTGGGAGATTAAACCACTCTACCCTTCCCATTTTAACCTTTAACTTCTCAAGTTGATGTAACTGAGCAAGGCTGTCAAGAGCATTAGGCAATACTTCACCTTCAATGTAGATCCCCAACTCCTTCAGGTTTGGAACTTTTGTAAAGTTTGTTGTTCTTGAGTCCCGGCCGATAACTTTGAACCATGAAAGACTTTGTAAGTTTTCTTGAACCAAGTTTGGGAGATAAGATGAAGATCCATTGTCAAAGCACACATGCCTTAACCATGGCAAATCCAAAACATCACATGGAAGTTGCAATTGATACTCTTTTGTCCACGTGGAGAGAATGAGAGTTTGCAAACATTGGAGCTTAAACAATTGAGATTTACAAACAGAACCTATAGTCCTTAAAGCTAAATATCTTAAATGAACCAAATTCACAATCTCATTAGGAATGCCATGCCAATATTTTATTAATGATAAGTCCAATACCCTTAACAACTTCAAAGATAAGAATATCGACAAACACTTTGCAAGAAATAAATTCTCATCAAAGTGGAAAAGGGAACGGATTTCAAGTGAAGAGTTAGGAAAATAACTTGTAGTAATTGACAAACAACCATATTGACTACTTACCCAACGACGCCCTTCATCAAGACCTTCCGTCCTCCTAACCATCATAATATGCTCCTCATCAATTGCTATATTCAAGCAATATTCATATAATATATCATGAAGCATACATGATTTGATTTTTCTATCCAAACTCCTCTTGTGAATTTGAACTAGCCTTCTATTGATAAGATCACACAAATAATCTTTAGCTATCTCTTCTAAACTCTTGTTCATCTCAGGCTTTACAAATCCTTCAGCTACCCATAACTTTATCAACTTTTTCACATGAATTTCGGTATTCACAGGAAAAACTCCGAGATAAAGAAAACAAGCTTTTAGGTGAGTAGGCAAATAGTTGTAGCAAACTTCAATTATGTAATACAATATATCAAAATCAAATTCTGGTGATGGAATGGTGAAGAGAATATCCACCCACTGCCTTGGTGAGTTGTTGAGTGTGGCTAGAAGTCCACCAATCAAAACAATTACTAGTGGTATTCCCCTACATTTCTCAACAATGCATCTCCCTATTATCTCTAATTCAGGGGGTAGACTACTACATTTTCCAGTTGCAGTTTTGCTTAATAATTTCCAGCTTTCTTCTGGATTCAGACCACGTGCTTCGAAAATCCACATACCTGAGCTGCAAGCAAATTCAGCCACATCCATACTTCGAGTAGTTATCAGAACTCGGCTTCCATTTCTATCATCTGGAAAAGATGTACTCATCAATTCGTTCCATGTCTCCTTTGACGTCCAAAGGTGATCAACGACAATCAAATACCTTTGGCCCATCAGAAGTTTGCGGAGTTGCTCTGCTAGCTGCTCATCATCTTGTTTGGAGATTTCTTCATTGCTTAATGACACAATACAACTTAGAATATCAATGAGTACATTTCTCGTATTGTGTAGTTGACCTGCAACCGTCCATGCTTGAATGTCAAAGTGATACGCAATTGATGGATCTCCGTAAACCTTTTTGCCTATCATTCCCTGAATTGAAACGACTTGTAGTTGAGTTGACGAAGAAAGCATGC